TGTATGTTTGGGTGGGAGGTAAGGGGGAAAGGGGGGAACTGGGAAGAGGAGGAGGAGCACCTTTGGGTGGGGGAGGGTGAGATGAGGGGAAAGGGAGTGGCTTTGGGTGGGGGAGGGGGAGCTGGGAAGGGGGGGAGCACCTTTGGGTGGGGGAGGGTGAGACGAAGGGTGAGGGAGTGCCTTTGGGTGGGGGAGGGGGAGCTGGAAAGGGGGGAGCACCTTTGGGTGGGGGAGGGTGGGCTGGGAAGGGGAGGGGGAGCCCCTCCGGGGGCAGGCTGAGCCGTACTCACTCTTTGACAAAATTGTGGAGTTGCTGCCGCACTGACCGCTGGGCCTGGTCAAACAGGATCTAGAAACATCCAAAAGGGAGAGATTTTGGGAAGACCTGGGAAGGGGAGTCTTTGCCTTCTGCTCCTGAAACATCCAGGGGGACAGGGAGAGATTTCTCCCCAAATCTAGGTTGTCATTCCCGAGGCCAACTGTCTCCTGACCTTCCTTCCTCCCCCCTCCCCCACCAGCTTAGACACTGGGCTTAGGGTCCAGCGCTCAAGCCAGGACTGTTCTTTCCTCCAGGGAAGGACCCCCGATGCAGTCTTCCCTCCCCAGACAAGGAACCTGCCCCATCGGGCCATTGTTCAGAAGCCTGACAACCTCCCGCATCTACACAGGGGCTTCCCCGCACGGCCAGCAGATGGCGCTGCTGCTTAGGGCTGCCCAGATGTTTGCCCAGCTTTGGGGCAAGGGGATCTGTTTTTTCTCTCTGATTGGGGGTGTCAAGGGTTCCCTGGATAACCCACCAATCCCACTAAGCCTCTGTTCATGAGAACCCCTACATGGACTCATATGGGGGGGAGGGGAAGGGAGACAGGGTTGGAAGATCAGTGTTGCCTAGCGTATGTGAGCAGCTGTGTCTCAGCACCCGCCTCCCACCGGCCAAGGCTCACAGCCCACGAGTACCCACAGCTGCCTCAGTCCAGCCCCCTCCCAGGTGCACACAAATAGCCACACACTCCACCCCCAACTTTAGGACCCCCAACAGCAATGTAGGACAAGGTGCTCCCATTAGGGCAAGGGATTGTGGGATACTAGAAGAAGAGCTAGGATGGACCCTAGACACCATCTGGTCTAACCTCATCATTTTACAGATGAGGAGACTGAGGCCCAGAGAGGTTAGGGCACCTGCCCAAAGTCACACAGCTAGGAAGCAACAGGGTGAGGAATTCAAACTCAGGTAGTAGGACCCCAAGTTCATCATTCTTTTCCCCCTGTACCAGGCTGCCTCCTTGGGAGGTTGAAAAACATTGCCCTCTCCCACCTGAGGAGGGAATCAGGAGTGGGGGAAGGGGCTAGCCCTTGGCTAAGGGGTGGGTGCTGGGAAGGGACAGGACAGGAGGGGGGACCTCTGCTCCACGCTGGACACGGGGGCAGCCCCATCACTGTCTTGTAGCTCTGGGAGTGTTTATTTCTGAACTTCCCCTGCTGGGTGGGTGGGGAAAGGAGAGGGGGGGTTGTTTAGTCTGGGCTCAGGCTCCCAGGCTGTGTCCGACCACCCAGAGTGTGGACATCTATTTATCCACGTGGGACCTTCGTGCACCTCTGTGGCCATGAGGTTCTTGGGGTCCAAGTCGGTGCATGTCAGTTTGTGAATGCTGGGGACAGGGCAGGAGAGACCCCATCTATCCCCAAGCCCTGGTGCTCACCCACACATTCCCTGAACAGCCCAGGGGACCTGCAGCCAGTCAGTCTACTGGCCAACAATTACCTACTATGTGCCAGGCACTGTGCTAAATGCTAGGGATACCAAAAAAACTGGGATTGCAGCCTTCCTGCCCCCCACCCCTCCTCCTAAAGGAGTCCAGGCCGGAAGCTTAGCCTTGGCCCTTTTCCTTCTGTCTGGACAGATGTTTGGCAACATCTGGCAGGAGAAATCTTTAAGAAGCTACTTGCCCCTATGCCCAGAGGAGCAATCTCCCCAGATTGGGGGTACGGAGTAGAAGAGGGGGCATGGTCTGCCTCTTAAGTTCCAATAGACCTCCTAGTAGCCATTGAGGCCAAAGGTCATTGCATCCATCTCCCTGCCTCCAATCAGATCAGCCCCAGCTCTAGCCCTGCCTGAGAGATCTCTGACTCACTCCTGTCTCACACCCCAAACAAGGAAAATGCTCAAACTCGTGGGCTACCCCAAATATGAAGGGCTGAGGTCCCCCGACTTTCCTTCCTCTGATGCCTGCCCAGTGTCTTGTCTCTTCCAGAGCCTATCTGGCTATTTCTGGGGCTTCTCTTCCCCCTCCCACACCCACAGCTCCGATTACATCCTCTCTTCTCCCCCCTCCCCCTCATGCTGGACCGGGGCCCAGCCAGACTCTTGGCTCCTAAGCCAGACAAACCCAGCCAGTGTCCTGGAGCTCAGACCAGAGTCCCTCCTGCCCCAAGGGACAGATCCACAGTGCCCCCCCCACCCTGGGCTTCCCCAACACATACCCTATGGCCCTAAGGGAGGCCATTGGGGTGGGAAGGTGTCTCCAGCTCCCTCCCAATGACTCAGAGACAGGCCTGAACCACTCACAGGGCCTGAATTCCCTGTCCTTCCTCATACAAGAACTTCCCCTGGCACAGCCCAGCAAAACCCTATTCCCCAAATATTCTAAGCCCAATGAGTCTCCAGTTTGGGGAGGAGTCTATGAGGACTTAGCCTGACATGCAAATGAGATGCTGATGAAGCCACAGAGCCAAAGGTTGAGACTATCTAACTAGCTCTGAGCCCCCTGTCCCAGCACTGGAGGAATGAAAGGAGGGGGGAGCTGTTCTTACCATGTGGTAGTTGATCATTTCCTGAAGGCTATCTCCAAACTTCTGTAGACATTCCTGGGGGGAGGGGAGGAGGGAGACAGGATGAGGTGAGGGCAATGGCTAGAGGGTCCCTGATTCCCTCACCCTCCCCACTACCTACCCCCAGCACTTAGCTCTGGTCTCATCCCTTGGCTGGTCCACACTCCCACCCCGGGCTTAGAAGGAATTTTCACAGAAATCCCACAGACACTGAACCACAGCAACCCCCAGACACTCCCTCTTTGCATCCCTGCTGATGAGACTCTGGAATCCAGGAGTAGGTGGCCCCATAGCCACCCCTCTTCTCCCAGCCTCCTATGGCTCCTGACCTATTTCTACTTCTTCCCAATTTGATTGGGACTCTCACTAAGGCACTGGGCTAAGTCTGGCTACATGGAGACCCCACTCACAGCCATAGCCACACCATCCATACCCTGACCCCAGTGTCTGATTGACATGGCCCCCAAAGCCACTGGACCTCAATCTCACCCCTAAGTCCCCCAAGCCAATCAGACTAAGGTCAGCAGACAGAAAGAGGGGTTGGGGATGCCATTACTACTAGAGGGCCAGCCTTGGAATCAAGCCTGGGTCCAAGTCACATACTGGCTGTGGAACCCTAGGCAGTTCATTTAACCTTTCCAGAATAATCATTTTTATTACATTGGCTCAGCCTATCCATGAACAATTGATATTTTTCTAGTTATTTAGATCTGACTTTATGTGTATGAAAAGTGTTTTGTAATTGTGTCCATAGAGTTGCTGGGTTGTCTTGGCAGGTAGATTCCCAAGTATTTTATATTGTTTACAGTTATTTTTAATGAAATTTCTCCCTATCTCTTGTTGATGGGCTTTGTTGGTCATATATAGAAATGCTGATAATTTATATGGGTTTAGCTTATATCCTGCAACTTGGCTAAAGTTGTTCATTATTTCATCACTTAACCTTTCAGCACATCCAAACAATTCTCTAAGACCATACAAAGGAGTGACCATTCTGTATTTGTGGAAGGAATTTCCATGCCAAGAGGTCCCCTACCCAGGAAAATTCACAAGTGTGAACCAAAATAACCAAGATGATTATTATCGCAATTAAGTTCTCATTTTTCTGTTTGATGGAGTTCAACTAGAAACAATCCCAGGACAAGTCACTTTTAGTGTTAATACCATTCATCTCCTCCTCTTCTTCTTTTCATGTAATAGAATCCAGATAGAAATAGTCTTGGGACGAATTATTCTCTTGCTACTATTCTTTCATGTTTAACATTTTGCAGGTGGCACAGGTGGGTAAAATGATTGCCTTTTGTAATTGAATAAAAGTACTGAGACTGTCGTCTGAAGGATCACTGGGAGTCTCCCTGGGACATCTTTGGGGCAACATCTTATTAGGGATGTCAGAGACCAGACCTGTGATTTCACTGGTCCAGGGAACTCCCAGGTTTGGAAATCCCTTCTGCCAATGAAGACTGGCCCCATCTCCAGCCTTTGACAGTTGCTTAAGTAACATGAGCTTGGACAGACTTTGGGAGATGGCAGGGCTTGGCGTGCTATGGTCCATGGGGTCACAAAGAGTCAGACAAGACTGAATGACACAACCATAGCACTGAGAAGCCAAGTCCTTTGCCCAGGGTCCCACAGCCAGGGTGCATCAGAAGGGGCGCGGGAAACCAGGCAATCTGGGCTACACGGCTCCTCCCACATCATGCCAGTGGCAGTGCGCACCACCAGGTCCTTCACAAGCGATATTCCTGAAGCCTTCCCGGGCACAGATAGTCCACCAGTTAGGGGTCTGTGAATCTCTTCTCTGAAGGTTTCTCTGCCAGAGCTTTTGTGGTTGAGGCTGATCCTGCCAAACCAAGCATCCACCCCCAAGGGCAGGAAGACCCTCTCTTCCACTAAAGAGCTATGGACACCACCTCCCCACCCCCACCCTGATTCTCTGCAAACAGGTCTGGCTGGTGGCCTACTCTGGGAGTCGGCTTCTGCGGCCCCCTGCCCCGGCCCACCCTCGTATCAACCCCTCTTACCGAGACCACCTCATCATTGCGGCATTGCTGCGACAGGTCCCGGACCCCACTGACAAAGTGTTTGTTGGTGGTGATGTAGACCTTGCCAGCCTCAATCATCCCACTACAGAGTTTGACCAGCTGCATGGGACAAAGGGGGAGGCACAGAGCACAGAGTGAGGGGTCTGCTCCCTGCTGGTCTCCCCAGGAGTGGAGGACGGCCACACCTGGGATGTACACCCTCAGGCCTCACCGGTTCCCTCCCTGGCCAAAGGAGCACCAGGTTCCAGATCAAGGCCATCCAGCCTAACCCCCTTATTTTACCACCCAGCATCACAGAATCATAACTCCTAAGCTGGAAGAGACCTCAGAGGCCATCTGGCTCAAGACCCATTTTCTTTTCTTTTTTGTATAAGGCAATTGGGGTTAAATAACTTGTCCAGGGTCACACAGCCAGTTAAGTGTCAAGTGTTTGGTCTGAGGCCAGATTTGAACTCAGGTTCTCCTGACTCCAGGGCCGGTGTTCTATCCATTGCACCACCTAGCTGCCCCAGTTTCCTCATTTTTAATGTGAAATGGAGAAGGAAATGGCAAACCACTCTGGTATCTTTGCCAAGAAATGGAGTCACGAAGAGCAAGACACGATTGAAACAAATGAACATTATTATTATTAAGTAATTTGCCCAAGGTGACAAGGGTAATTAGCAGATGGGGATTTGAACTCAGGTCCTCAGCTCTAGCAGAACCAGGAGCACTATAACTCAGGTCTGAAGCCCTACGATGGTGCCCACCATCTAAGCTGGGCAGCAGGGGGGTTGGCAGAGGGACAGAGACAGTCTCTCTCCTTTTTGGGCATAGAGACCAGGGACATGCCCAGGGTGAGCAGGTGAGGGGATGGCTGACGTGGGAGGGGCTCAGGTAGGAAGCCTCTGTGCTCGCCCCCTCCCCCACCATCTTGGAGCTCTTCCTCTCCTCTCCCTGGGCATTGATCCAGTGTCTTCCCTCCTGACCTCCCTCTATAACCATCGGTCAAGAAACTGAGCTTTTGAGAAAGGTGGAATCCTCCAGGCCAGCCGACACTGGGGAGGCATTTCAGACAAACCCATCCAGACAGAAAAGAGTCAAGACAAGGTCAGGATTTTCAGGGCCAGGAGCCAGAGAGATCTCTAGGAAGGTAAGGGAAGTGACTCCAACATTGGTACAGGATGACCGAAGCCCAGCGGAAGCAGTTAGGGAAGGCCCATCCTCAGCCAGGGCCCCCTGGGACGGTGCCCAGGAAAGCCCAGCCTCCCAGGCCAGTCCTGGAACGGGACTGAAGATCCTATCACACCAGGCAGAGGAACCCTCCAGGGTCGGACCAGGAGCCGGAGAGCTTTGCACAGCCCTTGGCAGAGCAAATAGAACTGGACACCCAGGATCCAAAGGTCAATAGCAAAAAAACTGAGTTTGAGGGCAGCCAGTGGTAACTGGACAGCTTTTGTGTGTCCCATGGAGACATTAAGCTCTACCCTGCCCCCTCTGGAAAGTGGCCCCTTGACCTCAAACACCCCCAGGCCCTTTGCCTTAGAGTCCAATACCCTCATTTTCCAAATGAGGAAACTGAGGCACATGAAAGTTAAGTGACCTGCCCAGAGTCACACAGCTACTAAGTAGCAGACATAATTTGAACTCGGGTCTTCCTGTGTCTAAGGCCAGAACTCTAGCTGCCACCCCAAGCTAGTTCCTGACTTTCTGGACTCACTCTTCATCCTGTAGGTTTCCTCTCCCTTTTCCCTCCTTCCCTTACCCTCCCCCCTTCCCAAGTCTGACCAAGGCAGGAAGCTGTGAGATACACCAGCTGCTGCTCAGCATGGGGGCCTGCAGAGAATCATGACACATGGTCACAGCAGCCCTGGTTACACACGCACAGGCATGAGCACACGCATGCACTCCCCTCCCTCATGCACATGCTGGGTGCCAGAACCCCGCCCCCCAAAGACTAAGGTGAACAGGACCCCTCTTCCCTGAGGGGGAAGTTGAAGGGGTCCCTCCCAGGTTCAGATAGCCACACCTTGTCACCCAGCATTCCCCCTTCTCCTCCCCCATCTACTCAAGTCACAGGCAGGACCCAATTCCCAACTCCCTCTTCCAGCTCCATGCCCCAATCCCTATTCCCCAGCCTTGGAGACAGAGGCCCCCCGGGATCCACAGGAGCTCCTCTCCTGCAGCCATGGGAATGGATGGGAGGTAGGGGAGGTCTCTCACCTTGTCCAGTTTCGCCTCTATCTCCACCACATCTGTTTCCACCTCATCTATGGTTGCCCTAGAAAGACAAGGACCAACACTGAGAAACGCAAAAGTCAGAGTGGACATGAGAAAGGGCTCATGGTGGGGGGAGGGGGAGAGGCTCTTCCCTCCCCAGATGTGGCCAGATGTGTGAGGCCAACAGGGAGATGCCCCAGGGGATGAGGCGAGCAAGGGTCCTGAGGGAAGAGGCTCTTGGGGACCAGCCTAGCACCACCCCCGCAGCCAGGTGACCTCCCACCTCCATCCACTGCTCACTCTCTGCCCTGTCTGCCTCAGCCCCCAGGAGTCACATAGTGAACCCAACAGGGTTGCTGACCTCCAGGGCTCCAACCCTCCAGATCTCCTATCCCCTGACCTCCTCCCTCCACCCACACACATACTCTGGTCCCAAGTCATGCCTCGAAACCTCCTCCCTGCTCATGCAAGGACAGCCTTCCTTCCCATGAACCTCTCTCTAAGATGGGGCAGGTAGAGCCCCACAGAGCGGACAGACCCTGCCCGCCTGCAGGAACCCAGGGAGAAGGCCACACCGGCTTTGACAGAAAACAGCTTCTAGGTTACTCTCAATTAACCCCAAACTGGAGAAGGCCCCCTAGGGCATCTATCTGTGTGTGTCTCTGACTGGCCATCCACTCCCTTGCCAGCAGTCTGCTCATGGAGAGATGATGCTTTGTTTGTATCTCCGGCTCTTTCTCCTTCTCCTTCCCGGTTTCCATCTAGCTTGGTTTTCCATTCCCTGAGGGGTGCGGTGGGTCTGAGCAGGGAGGCTACAGATGAAGGTAAAGTTAGAAGGCTGAGATGGAGCACCAGCCAGGGAGCCAAGAAGAGAGAGATCTTCCTGAGGCGGCCGCATTGGGAGGACAGAGAAAGAGTTCAGAAGCTAGGGTGGAAGGTCCTGGAGGGGCGTGGGGGGCAGATACCGTTTCATTCTTGTAACCATTTATACACACATACACATAAACACACACATATATATATATGTACATACACACAGAGACACATAAAATACACACATATACGTACACACACAAACAAAATACAAACATATTATATATATCTATAATGACATAAGATATTATCTATGAGATATATAAAACATATAAATATATAGCAAACCATATGTATAAATATATTAAAACATTATATATAATTAATACATAACAAAATATTACATGTAATATTTTATATATTTATTTTCTATCCCCAGCCATCAGCTTTGCCTGACACTGGGTAGATACTTAATGTTTGTCAAATGGATAATTAATTAGGAAATATTGGGGGGAGGCATTGGTTATAGAGGATTCCAGTCTCCAGGAGAGACTAAAGGGAAAGGATCAGTGGAACAGGGAGAGGAGGAGAGTGGATAGAGTGACCGCTGGATATTCCTGAAGCCACTTTGATGTAAGGGGTAAAGGTGGGAGAAGCTCTGGGTTGCAGCAGGTCACCACCAAATGGGTCCAAATGCACAGGGGCATGGGAGGGGGCAAGGATCATGATGCTGGAGCCACAACATCCCTCTCCCTTTGGCAGCCCTCAGGTCCCCACCCACAGTGGCCAGAGAAGCCACACCCAATAAGCCGGTCCTCTGGCCCCAGCTCCTATTCTGAATGAGGGCGGCTGCATGTCCAGGTTCCAAACTCCCATGGCCTCAACATCCACCACATCACTGTGCATGGAGGGGGTGGTCGAACGTGTTTGCAAACACTCCCTCTCCTCTTCAATCCTTCCCAAGAGAGCCTAATCCTTCTCAGCCTGCCCAGAGATCCCCAGAGAGCTGGGAGAGTCAGGTGGGGGAGCTCAGGGCAGGGCCCTGGGAGAAGAAGCAGTTGTTGGGGAGCAGGGGGGAGGAGAAGGGCTGCAGGAGAGGGGTTGATGCTCTTGGGCACTCACAGAGATTCATACACGCTCACACACACACAAGCACATACTTTGGGCTCCCCGGCCTTCCCTCCCACTGTGATTCCCACTCGGGCCTCCAAGCTTAACTAGGTCAGAAGCAGCCTGCGGCTGAAAGGAGGGGCCCAGCCCCCAAATGACCTGCCTGCTGCTTGCAAGAGGCAAAGGGGGGGGCTGGGAGTGAGGGGGGAGCCAGCCAACTGGGCCGGGCCGGAAGCCTTCTCCATGCAGAGAGGCGTTGTGGTAAAGTGAAAAGAGCGCCGGCCTAGAGTCAAAGGAGCTGGTTTGAATCCCAGCTATGTGACCTTGGCTAAGTCGTGGATCCTCAGTTTCCTGCTCTGTAAAATGGAGAGGTTAGACTGGATGACCTCTAAGGTGCCTTTCAGTTCCAGACTGGAGATTTTAGAATCCCCAACACAAACACCCCGAAGCCTTACCTTGTTCTCCTCCCCACCCATGCCTACCCTCTGAGATCACCTCCCTTTTATGCTACATAAACATAGTCATTGGCTTTCCTTCCCCATTAGAATGTCCGTCCCTTGAGGGCAGGGACTGACTTTGCCTTTCTACTATTCTCAGTGCCTGGCACACAGTTGGTGCTTAATACATGCTCACTGACTGATACATAGAATGCAGGTTGTAGGCTTTGTATACCGATATCCTACCCCTTCTCTCCTCTATACACTAACCCACTGTCACCCCACAGGTACAAGGGACATTTAGCCCCAGCTCAGGGGCTCCTGGACAGAATCAGGCATCCTTCTTCTTTGGAAGGTAACACCCAATTGAGGAGAGGGGTGGTGGTCCTGAGGAAGGCCTTCTACAAGACAGTGGGGGAAGGGGTCAAGAGGACCTCCAGAGACCCTCCCTCCTCAGACAGCAAGCTCTGGGCCTCTTGTCCATCCTTCATTTTGAGAAGGATCAGCGCCATCACCGGAGATGTCTTGACTTGCCGGTGAATTAAGCTGCCCAGGAAACAAGACTCAAGTTATAGGGCCATGACTCTAGTGAAAGAAGGGAGCCCAGGGGGACAGCTAAGTGGCACAGTGGATAGAGCACCGGCCCTGAAGTCAGGAGGACCTGAGTTCAAATCCGACCTCAGACCAAACACTTGACACTTACTAGCTGTGTGACTCTGGGTAAGTCACTTAACCCCAATTGCCTAAAAAAAGAAGGGACCCCAGGGGTCATCTAGTCCAACCCATTTTACAGATGAGGAAACTGAAGTCTGAGGTTGTGCCTGGCAGGGCTGGAATTTGAACCTAGGACCTCTGACTCCAGGTGGAGGGTCTTCCCATGAGGGAAGGGGTAGTTTCATCTATGTCTTCATATCCTCACTCATCTTCAGTCATGTCTGATTCTCCATCACCCCACTTTGGGTTTTCTTCAGAGATACTGGAGTGGTTTGCCATTGCCTTCTCCAGCTCATTTGACAGATGAGGAAATTGAGGCAAACAGGGTTAAGTCACTTGCCCAAGGTCATACAGCTAGTACATGTCTGAAGCTGGATTTGAACTCAGGTCTTCCTGACTCCAAGCCTAGTGCTCTACCCATTGCACCATCTAGCTGCCCCACCTAGCACATAGCAGGCTCCTAATAGTTGCCTGTTGATTGACTGAATGAAGGTACCACTTTGTCTCCAGAGGCTTGCCACCATGGGCTCCCTTGATTGCAAGCCTTTATCCTCAATGCCCAGGCTATACCCACTGTTTGCCATCCATAGGGCCCCCAGAACCAGTATCCCATGCGCCAGTGTCCCCAAATGCCCTCCCTGTCCAGCCTCCGGTAGCTCCCAAAATAGTCCCAGGGAAAGGAGACGGAGTGCCACCCACCCCACGGCTCCAGGCCCCCTATTTTTGGGTGGGGGAAACACGTGTTTAATTAGCTGCCTCAATCACTTCCTTTGTGTGAGGTTATTAATACCCAGCTCTGCTCCCGGCTGGGCGGGTGGGCAGGCGGGGTGGGCAGCCCAAGGTTTTGTCTCAGTTTGGAGCCCTTCTCAGAGACTTTCAGAAAATAAAACCTTCTTGACACACCCTGAACCTGGAGTGGAAGAGGGGGTGGAGCAGAGAGGGAGGAACCCTTGAGCCCCACTGGCTCCCTGGGGATGGAGACAGGAACCAAGTCCCTTTGGCTGAGACCCAAGCCTGCCCCTGGAGTGTACAGAATTCCACTCTACAGAGAGGCCAGGCTCCCAGGGGGATCTCCTTACAGTCTTCTGGGCATTGGGGGGGTCTGCTCCTCAATAAAGACACAACTGAGCCAAGCCTCTCAAACTAGGGGGATCCCTACAGGGAAGATCATGTTTCCCCTCAGACTGAAGGGGTGTCCCTGAGGAGGTTACATCTCCTCTTTAAAAGGAGGGTCTGGTGGGGCTGAGGGCAGGCCCCCTATCTCCCCCTCAGATCAACAGACCCTGAAGCCATGGCTGTCTCCCACTCAGAGCAAGGGGTACCTGAAGACGCCGTGTGTGTCCCCTCAATATGAGAGGAGGCCAGGTCTGAGGTCTCCCCATCAGTCTATTGGTTCCTGGAGGCAGGCCATGCCTCTCCCCTCAAACCCCCTCAGGGACCCCAGAACATTAGGTCTTGACTCTCCCTCCCTTATCCTCCCATCCCCTGGGCAGAGCTGTTCCAGGCCACTGCCCCACCGACCTCCATGAGCCACCTTGCCCCTCTCTCTGCCCCTGTCCCTGTCCCCAATCACCAACTGGGATGCCTAGGGAGGGAATGACTCCCACCTCCATCTTCCCCTCTTAGTCTGGGACTCGCCCATCCTGGATGCCTCCACGCCCCACTCCCCATCCCCAACCCCACCCCCACCCCCTGCCCCTTCCTGACAGCAAGGGAAGGGTTAACAAATGACGTCACCCGAAAGAGATGGAGAATCCCCGGAAGGGATGAGGCAGATGGAGCGGGACCACGTGACCCTTCCCCTCTCCCTCTCCCTCCCCCTCCCCCCAATCGGATTTGTGTCCGGGAACAGGAAATAAAGCTGTGATCGTAAACCCCTCCTCCCGCACCAATCCCTCCGGAATTAGGGTCTCAGATCCCCGATCCCCCCCAACACAATCCAATTTGCGGTTGGAGCCATCCTCTCTTCCATCTGCTTCCCCAGGGG